TTKSCCGCCATGTTTGTGTTCCTCTTTAGTTTCAATTGCYCGTGCATCCAAAATGGCGGCGATAGRGCTTTGTTCATTATTTCTCAAAACAGYATTGTTCATGTGTTTGCAACACTAAAACTATGAATTATTATTAATAATTATTACCAATTTATAATGATCTATTTAGGAAAGTTTGACAGCGTTGCTGACTGATGAGGAGATGCAAGAACTCATTGAAAACTTTGACMGACTCGATGTCGACCAAGGTATTCTTTTTCTCTACAGGGATTTTTCTCTCGAGAAAACAATTTCACGTGTGATCAAGCGTCGTATCTGTAAATTTTAATAGTCTCCTTCACGGATACCTGCGCCATCTTGAAAGGTCCTGTGAATAATTGTCTATAGGTGTGAAAGAAGGTTTCTATMATTGYACRCTMAAYGGTTGTCTCGCTTCGATGACAAGGCACGGCTACCTTTCAAGATGGCGCAGGTAACCGTGAAGGAGACTATTATGGAAACTAGCGGTAAACTAGTATGAGGTCTATCAGTGTTTCTAAAGAAACAGTTGTGTAAAAAGATAATTTTTTGCACCGTAAAAAGTAGGTGAAATAACTTAGTGACGTTTCGTTAATACATCTATAAATCGTTGTATCTTCTAGACACTCAGATTACCCAGGAAGAATAYGTTCGATATAAAAAAGCCCAATACAAAGATACCCACCAAACAGACCTCCCTCGTACACAGGTTGAGGACGTTCGCCGCGAGGTACGTATTAGGCCGATTTACTGACGACGTGATATCGATTTACGATCATGGTTGGTCATGCACTTCCCCTGACTGCTTTCACTGTAGTAACGCACATGGTTAAGCGATGAAGCATCGATTTATATCGATGGATTGTCACATAGTACGCTATCCATGTTGTGAAGTGGTTTTCACGCAAATGACCTTGTGTCGTGTGAATGCGCGCTCTGATTGGTTCATAAGTGTACTATATTTCACCGGTAAATACGCGCTCTTACTTTCTTCATTATTGATGTACTTTGTCATAGTTTACAATGATGGACAAAAACAAGACAAGAACGCTGGACTGGTGGGAATTTTTAAACCATGAATCGCTCAAAACTCTTGGAATAAAACGAACCAAGGTTTGAATCGTATCGGGTGTTCTATTTTTGTTGTTGTTGCTGTTGTTGTTGTTGTTGCTATTGTTGTTATAGCTTAAAGTGCATTTGAATCTCGGAAATCATTTTAAGATTTGATACCAAAAAAGATCGCTTGATGAATGCATTTAGTGATTAGTAACAATTTATTATTTATCCATTTTAGTATCAATTGGTTAAGATGTTATCTCCTCGYGAGATCCAAGACGCGCGCGATATCTTCCACGCATTTGATACCGATGAAGATGGCTACATCAATTCATATGAAGTTACCAAAGGATTTGGACGGTGGTTTGGTAACCTTCGAATATCAGATGGATCCGGGTAAACCAATCACTTCGTCTTCAATTATCATTCTACTATTCCTACAGATTCTTGCCTTTCTCTTTTATTTTAGATTTTTAGTTCATTCCATTTATTTCACAGGAGCGATTCTTCCTCCTTTGGTAAACCGCTGGATGCTAAGACTGTATCTGGTCACGTAGATAGGCATACAGAGWTGTTTATGCATGCTGACACTGATCGAAACAGGTGTGTTTAGCAGTTTACAACTGATCGACTCGACGTTTACTCTACTCAACTCGACTCGACTCGACTCCACTGTACAATACTCCACTCAACTCGACTCTAAATAGATAAATAAATAAATAAATAACTTTATTTTACGAGGGTAGCACATTGCAGTCAAAGACTGATAAACTCGTGGCCCTCCTCCTCTACACTACTCCACACAATTCTAGTGCAATGTACTCTGATCTTCACTATTTCATCCCATTCTCTTCTACTCCGCTCCCATTCAATCTTCCATTCCGTTCTATTTATTTATTTTTTTTTAATTATTTATATTGTAAATGACTGGTGAATACTGATGCTGCTCAACAATCTTTCCTTTTAGACTCGTGTCATGGGACGAATACTTGAGAGAAAAGGCTTTATTCATTCTAGCTGATCGTCCTAACTATCGTACAAGTTAGTGTAGACTCTGTAATGATACTATGCGAACTTATAGACGAACTTATACCTAGCTTAAAGCACAGAGTGTTTGGCCAGACATACTYAATTAAGCGTAGCCATTTACGTCATAAATTGGTGACCAACGTATTTAATCAATATCATCTTAATGGGTACAGAGCACTAAAAAAAATTTCAATTTAATCATTGTGCTGTACATTCTCTCAAATGGTGGGCTCAAATATATTCTTAAAGTGGAAAGATTTCCTTACGTTTTAATTCTAAGTGATGTATGTGTTTTTTTTCTTCATATTATAAAGTTGATACTTTTTTTAAGTGAATGCCCATTCTTTTTTTTAATGTTTTGAGAGATCATTTAACCRTCCTCCCTTTGGCACTTAGCTAAGCTGTAGCACTTACACTTGGMAATTTACYTTAAAATAATGGTGCTATAGTTCTGTAGAACKAGCGTTCAAAATTTTAAATTGTCTAATTCATGTTTGAAAGCGCTGCTTATAAAGACGCGGATAGMAATTCTTAAACGATGAGCTTGGCGTCAAGATARCAGTACATAATTTACTTGTTTTAAACTCRCGAGACATGAAAATTGACTWTAATCGTGGGTATTCATCTCGGTGGCGTTGTACCGTATGCTTTTCAAAACCAGAGGTCAAAATGACGACATGCTGTTTTTCTGAATTTCGCGGCGACAAAGAGAACAATTCATAATCAAATTACTATAATTGGTTAAATCGATTTTTTGAAAGTATTCAGATGATTATATCAATAATTAGAAAAGTGGAAGAATTTAAGAATCTCGCTTTAAAAAAAAAACAACAACAAAAACGAAAACAATGTTCTACCGTCAGGTTGAAAAGTCGATGTTCGCATGAAAAAAAAAATCGACAGGATATCTTTGTTTTGTGGTGAAAATGCATTCAAGATCATGGACTTATAGATAATCCTAATTTCAATGCCTACTTTCAGGAGCTTATTTAATTGGATTTACCATTATTTGTATCTATATAGAGTTCTACTTCGAGTTCAATATTACATAACGCGGACAAGTTCTACTTATCTATAGTGTAGCAAATTCAAAAAAGAAACGAGGTTTCAGAAGAAAAAATCAACTTGTTGGAGTGATTTTACTGTAATCTTTATTTAAACATATAACTCCTGAATGAAAGCTTCGTGGTTTTATATTTAAATATTAAATAGAAAAGGCTAATGATGCAAAAGAAAACAATAGAGTTAGCAAATAGGAAACAATACTGGAAGGCTTATCTTTATCTACCTCCCTCCTTTTCTTTTTGACTTCGTTGTTGATTCCGACCAAATGATCCGTAATGCGACTTTACCGCGCTTAAAAACCCTTAAACTTCGAACATCTAAAGACTCTATTCTCATGATTCATCTAAGAGCTGCTCGCGATAAAGGTCTCTTAAGTTCTTTCGTTTATCTGTGTTCCTAATCTTAATCCCAAAGCGCTGCACTTAAGAGCTTTAGGGGACTCTCTCCCTCCTCACCGCGAATACTACTATTAACGGTTCAAATGGCTTGATATAATTCCGTTAAGAGAGTTTTTTTACATCTTGTTCTTGTTTTGATTGACGTTTCGGCCTGATATTAAGGGATTTGGTCTTTTCTTGAAGATGGTTGTCATCTTGTTTTGAAGGTTTTAGATTGCTGCAATACACACTTACGAATTGACTCGGGGCGTTGCTTGGTTACTTGCTAAGAACAATGGCTATTTTCTCCCTTCTTCCAAGATATAGTCCACAGACAATATAATTCTGTTATCGGTCGAAAATGAGTTACGAGGATTTGTTGTCAAAGTCCTTTATCTAACTTGGGGGATGGGATACCAATAAACCCAACCTCTATCGACCGATATGGTTTCAGAATTAAGAAAAAGTTTGTGGCACGTTTTTGCTAAATATATTAGTCCTCTAATACTGATCGAGCTTGAGCATTGCTATTTCCATCCATAGAACAMAACGTACAAGTAGAGGCCGGAAATCTTGAGGAATTGGAAAAAAATGCGGCGGGTTTTTCAACCCTCGACTTACCTCGCAAAACGAAAAAATAGATTCTTTTATACCGAACAGGCTTGAAGGTTGATTTTTTACAATCAATGACCGCCGGCAAATATTTCAAAATCGCAATACTTCAGCTGCAATTTTCTAACGAATAATAAGCCGTCTATTGGGTACTATTTTCCCCCAAGTAATTCAACGTTAATTTACCACAAATGTTTCAGTATTGCGAAAATTCGATGTGAAGTTTTCCCAATCAATGACAGACACCTATCTAGCTCGAGGGATATACCTATTATCAGTAGCTGTGATAAATAATCGAATCCTCTTTGTAGCTCGAGGGATTGCTATTTCCACCCACTGATATCCACCATATTCTTATCAGGCACAAATGTTGCAAAATTGCTAGAAATTCGAGCCGTGGATGGCTRGTTGTTTTCATATGAGACTGGTAGACGTCTATTGTAAGATTTATGTCTTAACAATCGAGAGATAACGTCCAATAGCGTGCGTACAACCGTTTGGACTAAGGACGCGATGACACCGTTCGTAATCTCGTTACGTAAGTAACGCGCGCTTTAGAAGCGCTTACGTACAATACTGAAGAACTTTTACTTAATGTTTGCATTGTCAGTCAGTTTCACATTTCTAAATTACGTGAAATGTAATCCGCACGAGTATTTATTTATTCATACAAATAAAAGTTGTCTAAACAGCGCTACCTTTTAAAGCTTTTTGTCTRATACTAATAATTCAGAAAACCTTTTTTATTCGGCGTTTTTGCTGCTTTGAATGGGCGCGTTCTTTTWGTAATAGCGGYTTATCTGATTGAAATTTGAACATCGTAAAATAATTTGAAAAGAGAGCTTCATTAACCAATCAATATGACATCTATACGATACAYACAATCAAAGCTTACGGCATATCTTTTTCAATTTTCCTACTTTTTAACGTTGATCTATACTAAACGAGTAGGTTTACGGAAGTGCGACTRGCGCAGTGAGGTAGTTTGTTTGGGTTTGTAGTTCCGGTTTTAATCTTTGACGTTATTGATTCTCTTTCACGCGAGAATAGTACGTACTATATCGGACTACTGACTCGCTTTTCAATTGCTACACATTACTGTAAAAGCAATCAAGTCTACCTCTGTAATCCGAATGCCAAAGTGTTCGCTATGTAGAGGTGTAATCTACTGTTTACTTATTNTGGCCAATCTTGGTGCTCAGATTGACCACGCCCGGGCCGTGTCGACTTAATCTCCTTTGTTGTTGTTATTTTTTCCGTGAGTTGAGTTAGTGGCTGGGCGGCCTGTGCTTTCGTGCAAGCCGATTCAAAGATAGCTTCAGGCGCCATTATAGGGGAACACCGGTAAATAAAACCTGTAAAAATCCCCAGCTTACAAGGTCATGACCATCAAGGGCATCCCCCTGATGAACTGTAAACAAAGTTCAACCATGGATGAACAAGCCGTTGCAGAAAACCGGACAGGGTATCGGCTCATTGCAAGCTTAACGATCAAACAACAAAGATATGGACGAAATATCTCCTCTCTTGTCAGTGCAATACAGTCCAGAAGATACAAGGTAWATATTTGCCGATTATTACCCTCTGTACCAGATCAAGAGGTTGGAAAGCTTAATTTTCCCGCGCCAAGTGCTACTATTCTAAGCTTACTAGTACTTTTAAGGCCAAATGGTGCTTCGGAGTCAATTGATAATTTTTGAATTGGAGCTCAAAACACTGGTCAAGAGATTTGGCAAAGGAAGCATACTACTTTTGCAAAGATTACGATTGAACGCACGACTTTTTAAAGCTTTAATAGCCTCTCTGCAAACAAAGGATAAGTTAATTGAAATTCATAGATCTAATGTAAGCTTAAAAAAAATTGAAAAAAACTTAGTAAAGATTTATATTAAGCTTAATTAACCTTTACCTTAAATTTCATGTGCCTTTGCATTTATGCAAACCACTGTAATAGTCTTTGGCCCGTAATAGCTTATTAAAATGTGTGACGTGCAATAATTTTTTTAGGCAAATATTGCAATAAATGTATGACTTGTGTATTTCAAAAGCAATCCGTTCCTGGCATTTATAAACTTTATTGAAATGTCACTTGTCTGACTTGCAAGTAGTGGAAAGTGGAGTTTGGTCACGACTTTTTGATTTGCTTGCAATTTTTCATTTTTTGGATTACATAACATTACTTGCATGCTGAGGTGGTGGCCTCTGTTGTTTAAAGCAATATGCTTGCGAACACACATTCCTTACGAACAACATCACTTTATCGCAAATGCAATGAATTGTGTTCAACAATAATAAATCGTTGTCTTTCACAATGTTATGTTCAAGAAATTAATGGCAATGGCAATACTAATTTTRGTGACAACAGTGAATTCAATGCGATTGTGCGCATAGAACTGATCTCTATTCCTATCCTAAAAAACATTATCTCCTGTGAATAATAAAGGTGTGYAAGGCTYTTTCAGACCTTCSAAGAAGCAGGCAGCTATGATTTCATGYYGAMTGCAGTCATTAAGTTTCRAAAGTTATGTGTGCATACCGTAGCACGCAGGTGGTGTTTGTATGTAATTTAAGCACAGCAGATGCTAACCACCTCAGTAAATAATGTAAGAATTTAAAGTATTATAATGCAAGAAGTGGCAGAAATGCAAGCGATTATTGTCTCCACATTTGATTGTTTGAAAGTCAAACAACATTACAATCACACATAATATATATTACCTGACATGGAAGCAGAGCCAGCTCTTAATATGCACAGGTGCTTCCTTCCTGGGTGATATTGTCCTATTGGTCYAAAATAGTCTATAAAAATAAGAGAGATTATACAAACTTTTCAAATAAAATATACTGCATTCATTATATTTCCTTACTAGTAAGGAATATGACTGCCATTGTTTAAATTTATCTTCTAGAAAACAACGCTCTGCCCGAGAGCCATTTACCCATAATTCAATACAGAAC